CACCATTATTCAACAAACCCTGGCGCTGTATGTCGCCAGAGGATTCTGTTGGTTTCAACTTTTTTTTTGGAAGGAAACTAAAATAAACCTTCAACTTTTGGGGTATATTATTATGAAGCCACAGTGGCGAAGACTTTACTGACATGAAGACAAGCCTAAGACTCTCGGGAGTCGAGAACAAGTCAAGACCAAGACGAAGCCTAAACATTAGGGATGGGAATATGAAGCTCCAAAATTGCTTCATGAACCAGTTATTCCTCGAGATTGCACTGTTGGTTTAACAAAGGGATTTAAAATGGCACGTTAGTGTACTTTCAACCCAATGTTGAACATAAGAATGCCATCTAGAGGGTTAAAAATCATACAACTGGTTCAAGAAGGAAATTCAAAGCTTTATTTTCCCAGCACTACTAAACGTGCAAGGTGGGGTATCTAAATATTACCTCGACCACTAAAAATCCTCAGTCACAACACTGCGAAGCTTGCAGTCATTATGAGGGTGGCGGCGGTTAGAAACACATCAACTGAACACATTTATTGTTCTAGCGTGTGCTTCTCATTAACACATATGAAGTTGAAGAATAGCACATCAGTCCTGATCTTAACCGGTCTTGACAGAAAATGCTGTCCGGCCAGTAAGACAAGACCAAAACCTTCAAAATCTGGTCTCCAGACAAGTCTCAAGACCAAGGTTTTGGTTATAACACCATGTAGCAAGTTTTTGTCATCATTTTCAGATCAAATCAGCTGCAGTCCCTTGCTTTCTGCCAACCAGAAGCACCATGTTGTTTACAAAAAAAAGTCTATAAAATTTCAAATGTGACACTGCTCTCTACCTTCACTGGGAGTCACCACCATGGCAACATACTTGTCCTTCGGCAGAGCCCAGTCAACAGCCACTTGGCGACCTTAAAATGGAACAGTGAGCCAATATGAATAACATTGACAAATACAAGTAAAACATGATCCCAACAGTGCACCCATCAAGCTCGCAAATGCTCCGATTTTTTCAATATGTGGTGGTAAAAGATCGTTCCGTCGCACGACTAAAGTGTGTGTTTCTTCTACAGGCGCATACATCAAAGGCACTCAAACATCTGTGTCCGTCTGTCAGACAGCACACAGAAGACGTGAACGTGCGTCAGGTTAAAACCTTCTTGCATAAATTGAATCAATCACCATACAAGTCTGCAAGTCTACTTTTGCTGAGTGAACAGCCCTCTAACTTAACTTGCACTTTACTTGATAAAGAACGGCTTTCCATTCAACTCGCTCCCATTAATTGAGGCGTGCATAACCCGCTCCGCATTATGGCAACCGAGACTGCGTGCTGGACCGTTCCAAAAAAAGGGTGCAACCAAGTCTGTGCCGGTGCGACCAATTGAAAAGATTGGTCATACCAATGCACAAGTGTAGAGACATAAAAATACATGAGAATTACCTTTAATCATTTTCAGGTTCATATCTCGAAGCGCTTTGTGTGCCCCGATCAAATTTTTGAACTGGACAAATGCAAAGCCTCGCATCTTACCATCTGTCAAAAGACCAAAAAAAGTTATTAAGACAAGAAAAAAAAAAGAACAACCCTTGTCGAATTTCCATCCAACCAGAGGCCTAGCACAAGAATCCTATGGTAATGAACTGCCTTTATTTATTCATTGTTCGATTGTGCATGTGTGTCTAATATGTTCAGATAAGCACATTTCATAACATCTGCATGAGTGCTAGGCTTTTACCAGGTTTAAGAGGTATTTTGGCATCAAGCACTTCTCCAAACTGGGCAAAAATCTGCACAAGATCCGTCTCTGAGCACTGCAACACAAAGCATTTTGTCAACTTAACACCATTCTTGTGACAGTTCCTGCGAAAGAAGCAGACATTACCTCAAAACTGAGATTCCTAATGATAAGTCGAGCTCTTAGGGTCCTTTTCTTGAGGGTCTTTTTAACATTCCGCTCAGTTGCCTTCGGTGGTGGTGGCCCTGCTGGTAAGGCTGCATTAAATTCTTCTTTAGCTAAATATAAGAATAACAGAAACACGGATCATTAGCAGAAAATTTGTATGAGTGCACCACACTGCGGGAATTCATACAGACCTGTTTTCTTTTTTCCCCTTTTGTCCACCGATTTCTTCTTAGCCGCCGAAATCGAAAGCTTCGTTCCATCATACTCCTTGATATCTTTCAATGCTTGTTGTGCATCCTCCTCCAATGCATATGTCACATAGCCAAATCCTCTGCAATTTGCTGCACCTAGTGCAGAGGAAGACAGGCATATGATTGAAAAAACAAAGGCTGCAAATAATGATTACTTTAATTGTCAATTGTCATTGATTAATAACCAACAAACTGGCGGGGGGTGACATTTCAGCTTGACAGTGAATAATATGCACAAACCGAAATTGATTATAATGCAAGACACACCGGGCGAGATAACGGTGTCTGCTTTGCTTGAAATCGAGCTGTTTTAGTCCAATTTACGTTACAAGAGAAACTTAATACTGGAAGAAGTGGCTAAGGAGAGGGGAGTCTGGGCTTCCCTGCAAAAGCTGTTGCCCCCGCGATTCGACCCTGGATAAGCAGTGGAAGGAGGGAGGGAGGGAGGATGGATGCAAAATACGTTTATATTCCCCATATTAACTTTCAATTTTGTAAAATCTTGGTTTAATCCCATAAATTCTCTTAGTTTAATTACTTTTTTCAAAAAGACTAGTTTGAGGTCATGCCAAAGAAGGAAGGAAAAATCACCTTTGTCTTTGACCACGAAACATTGCTTGACAGGACCGATCTCGGAGAAAATCTCCTCTAGTCGTTCATTCGAAGCGGACTTCGGCAACCAGTTGACGAACAGAGTATGACCTGGCATGCTTGCTATCTGCTGCCTCGCTAACGTTAGCAGGTCAATGCTAGACTGTCTTTCAGGATAAAATTAATTATTCAAAAGTAGTCCCAAACGGTGAATCTTCACGGTTCTGTTTAACTATCTAATATCGTATAAGTTACTACAGCGGAAATTAAGTTAAATATATGAAATTTCTGCGACGGGCACGACCAAATTAGGTCGCATGTTTACATGATGTAGGCGGCCATCTTGGAAGCCACACGAAAACTGTACGAACGGAAGTCGTCATTCGCTTCTTCTTCTGCGTTTATTTTCCGCACAGGAGTTTATCGCTACTTGTTGCCCACAGTGTCGAGGCGAGCAAACTATCTTGTTTTTGCCCGGTATGACCTGTTACCGAACATGCTTTACATTAACGTAGTTCGCTTTCTTTTTGAACTGTTACATTTATTACGGTTAAAGGAAAACAACTAAAACGTTTTCGGTGAACATGCTCATTTTTTTTATTATGTTACTGGAGACTAGTTTTGACCTTGCATTTGCGGTAGTTCTTGAGCTTTTAGACACGCGCCTCCCGTTCCGCATTCGATTGACATGTAGATTACCTACCCAGAAACATCTAACAACTGGTCCTACCAAGGTAGCGTGGCCGAGCGGTCTAAGGCGCTGGATTAAGGCTCCAGTCTCTTCGGGGGCGTGGGTTCGAATCCCACCGCTGCCAGAAATGTTTTTTAAGGAAAAAGACCAAATAACGCCCAAGGACCACGAGTCGTTCACGAGTCTGTTCTAAAAACAGCAATAATTTGAAAATATGAACAGTAGCAGAGAATTATGAAAATATTGCTGCATGTTGATGTCATATATTACCTAATTATTGTCCGAAATTATTATGACCCGTGTTTGCAGATTAAAATATCCTCAATTATTAATAAAAAATAATCACATTTTGAGCATTTTTTTATACGTCTGCATCAAATTTGTAGCCCTTGGCATTAATCAGTACCCAAGTAGTAGCCCTCAGTCTCCAAAACAAATATATATACATCCACTATCTGAACCACTAATCCTCACAAAAATAAAAGTACATATGTGCTCGCACGCGAGAACACACACACACACACACACACACACACACACACACACAACTTGCAAATGGTCAAAACATGAAGTCAGCAAAACATTTGTCCACATTTTGCCAAGCGAATTAGAGGTAAATGTTCAAGAGTGAGCATGCCAATACTTGCTGACGAATGATCCTTGGCAGCTTTATGCCACTCAAAAGTACAATGCAATCAAGACAACTGAAGAAATTAAATAGTGTTATAAATTATAATAAGACAAATCGATACATTCCAACTTTATTTTGAAATTATGCACACATGAAGGCATTAAATTTTTCACCAACCAAAAATGCAAGTAAACAAAAGTCTCAAGAGACATTACTTCCACCATACATTCATTTGTATCAACCCCGAGAAACCAATCAAACCTTTGTGTAAAACAGGTTCTGATAATGAAGTGCAGTGGTAATTCAGATTCAGAAAACTTTATTTATACTCAGTAACAACATTACTCATCGGCAATGAACACACACAGAAAACCGACGCCTTTTGCTCCATTCTTCTCAGGCGAATGTGCCAAAGAATCAAACAAGTTGAACCGCTTATCGAATATTTTCAAGTTGAAATATAGTCGAGCTCTATTTTCAAGGAACGTTGCAAACAGAAATTTGAGGGAAAAAGTTGTGCATGAAAGTAATATTTTTGAGGGAAAAACATTTGATATTTTCGAGAAAATTGTCGTAATACAGTTTTGATAACTGAGAAAAAAAATCTCGCGAAAATATTGAAAATTTACGAGAATAAATTGGGACTTTGGGGGGGTTATAATATGAAAAGTACAACATAGCTGAGAAAGAAACAACATTTTAGAGAAAGAGTCATCTTACAAAAATTAATAAATCTAGCTTTGTAAAAGTTGCATTTTCAAGAGGCAAAGGGAGTGATCTTACTAAAATTAAAGTCATACTTTGGAGAATAAAGAGGAAACAACTTTCAACATGTAATATTGCAGATTTTCCTGATACAAAATACAACTAATCTTGTAAGATTAACAATTTTCTTAATTAAAATGAAAAAAATGTACTTTTTCCTATTATTATTACACTTCACTCTGATAAAATTAGGACTCTTCCTTCATAAAATGCAACTTTATTTCTGAAAATTAACTTATTTTCTCAAACGGACAATTTTTATCTAAAAAAAAAAAAAGTCAAGAAGGAAAAGAACCCCAAAACTTTTTGGGGGGAAAATTTACAAATTTCTTTTGAGACAGTTCACCTTCATCCTCACAAGATTACAACTCTAATCTTGTAGTGGAATACTATTTTTTTTTTTCCTCAATGCAGCCTTAAGCGCTTTGTGACAGCTGCACTCTTGTGAAAGCGCTATATGAATGCAGATGTACTGTTTTGTTTGTTGTTTGGTCTTAAAACTCCTTCATTGTAAATATAGACCTGAAATGTACATTTGTTACGACAACACTTGTTGCATTTCAAATAAATAAGTTGACTAAATGAGTTGACTACAACTATTAGAACCTGAGAAGTTAGTAACAGCAAGTGGGCCAAGTTTGGAGTGAGTTTGCCCCCCCCCCCCCACACCCCTCTCCCCTTCTCAAGCTACATCTTAGCTTTGAGCGGAACAAGAGAAAGCGAGTGGACGAAGGATTCCAGAGTGTCGACGTACTCTTGCGGGTGGGCCTTCAGGTGGCCGGCATGTTTGGAACACTCCCATTTCTTAGCGGTGAGGGTCACAGCACGCCCCCGCCAGAAGTCGATGACCTCCTCCAGGGCACGCGGGTCACTCAGCGGGTCGTTGTCGCAGTAGAAGAAGAGCGCGGGCGCGGTGAAGGGAGAATTCCAGAAGACTTGGATGCTCTTGTTATAGTAGTCAGTGGTTTGACGCTTGAACGTGTTGAAGTACAGCAGGCTCATTTGTTTCACTGCCGTCTCCCAGCGAGGAAATGCGATCTTGGCCACACCTGAACACGCAACACAACACTTGCTAAACATTTGACCGGTTTTAACGAGGCACTTGCTCACTTCAATTGTGATGGGCGTGATGCTATTGTTATTGTGTTTTTTTTTGTTTACCTTATCAACAGAGGTTAACTGGAGGCGCAACAATTAAACAACAACCATTTTGATGATCGATGATTTGTTTTAAGACCTGTCAGAATTTCAACCTCTCAACAGTAAATATTCTCACATTTTTACAATGCTCCATTAAAACAGACTGATCACAAAGGCCAACATTTTTTTCAAGTGCCAGATACTTTAATGGTTTCCGGATCATTTGGGCTTTCTTTCAGTTAGCTCCATATTTTCTTTAGGTATATTTTTGGGGAATTTTTCCAAACTAATGGAATGAGAATGAATATGCTCTTACTAAAAGTAGGGTTTATGTTTTGATGTCACCTCTTTTGTATTTTAGTGCTGATACTGCCAAATTTTGCAGCCAGACTTTCACATGGAACATGATTTGCATGTAGAAGGTGCTGCCATAACAATTGCCTTTCATTATATTGCAGCAAAAATGAAAGAATAGTGTATGGGCAAGCTTGGCATGAAGAGAATAAAGAGAATACCAATGTCAAAACATTGTTTTACTAGCACTTTAAAAAAATGAAGTACCTCAAAACCAGGAGCCAATTCTGGAAAAAAAATATTTACAAATTCAGCGGCATAAATATATCCTAAAACCATCAAGAAACTGAGTGGCAAAGCATGACAAATGAATCAGAAATGTGTTCTCACACCTCCTTGCTTTCAACCAATCAAACATCATTCAGTATGATGTGACGGCAAGATTAACACTGACCTGAAGCCATCAACTCCACAGAGCCCACCACCAGGCTGTCATAGATTTGTCCTTTGATCCTCCCGGTGAGTGTCTTGTACTTCTGCGGGTCCTCGGATACAAGCACCATCACCTGTGCGAAGGTGTAACCGCCGATGGAGAAGGCGTGGACGAGCAGCGGCCGCGACGCAAAGCGGTCACTGTGCAACAACTCCACCAGCTTCTTGCCGTGTTGCAAACTCCAACGAGGCCATAGGAATTCTTGTACCTGCAAGCACAGACAGATTGATAGTCCTTTGTGTTTTTGCACTTGTGATCTGCTGCAGCCATTGTCTGTAACTCACGTGCCCGGAATATTCTGCAAATAAAACCTTCGAAGGCCCTGTTCATCGTCTCCAGCCTGTATTCGGATAACCAATATTCTAACTACCCGAAATTCAACGAACACGCGGGGGAAGAAAGGCCACCCTTCCTCCAACAATAGATAGATACCTCACTCTCGACGACGAGGACATCAAAGCCAGTGCGCAGGTAGATGTCGCAATATTTGGCTACGGCCTGGGGACGCGCTCCCAACCACGGCAGCATCAGCGTCAGAGGCTTCTGGTCCTCGTAGGTGTGATCTGACGGTGCGGGTGCAACATGCTCATTCATGTAGAGGGTGATATGTTTACTGAGGCGCAGGCAGGAGAAGCTTCGTCGCAAGATGCTCTTGGTCAGCATCTCTGATGCTGCTGCCGGGGGACCGGGAGGAACAGGCTCCAGAGGGCTTGAGAGACATTATAGTCAGTTGAAAATGTGAAATTAGCTTATGAATGACAACATCAATTCGCAAAGAGGAACCGCAAGTACAAAAAAAAAAAAAAAAAGACAATTGTTTTACATATTGCCCTGCAGTTAACACTTCTCATCCATGACATGGGAATATCACAAGTATCCAGGGAGCATTTATAATGAGTATTGATCAAAGGCTACAATGCAAAACAATTTGTATGCACAAATGCATAATGTACAAATATACAAGCCTGAGGTGTTTGACGGTGAATGACTATTACAAGACAATGTTTGATATATTGTTGTCTAGAGATGTCACTGACGCCCAGATAAATACAGAGACACATAAAGTAAAACATAATTGTTTTCGGTAGTGCTCAAGTATTTCAGAAGAAGGCACCATGCCTTCCAAAAAAATAAATATTTAAGTGTTGGTGACGTTTGACAGATGATGAAACTCCCCATGTGAAACTACAATCGGTTTGACCACTATAGTTTCCTGTTAACATTAACGTTACACTGTGATGTACAGCCTAGTTAATGCATTCATTATCGTTATTTTCGTGTACATTATGCGGCATGAGCGAGCAAGTCGTTTTTATTAGGTCAAAATCAATGTCGAGTCTTTCTGCTAGCGTTCGTAAAGTTACACGTTTTAGATTTGAAAACGATTGCAGACCTTGTCGGCGACAGTCCGCACTGCTGTTAGCAGTTATTGTCAAAAAGTTCAAAAACTTCAATTTAGCAAAAACAACCAAACCGCAAATGAATACTGTATTTTAGTTCTTTTTTTTTTCTTGAAAAAAAAATAACGTGCTACACCCTGGTTTATAACGCTAAGGCTTCGAGAAATAATGCTTGATAATGAACTGTAAACATTGTTACCCACCAATTTTCTCTCCTGGTCATCTCGGTGATCGTCTTATACTCTGTAACAAACAAATGAACAAAAATATGTTCAAATATTAGTAGTTGCGGCACTAATAAGAAAAAAAGGGGAAAAGAAAGTCTTCCTAACAAGACAAAAGTGGGGCAAAGAATGCAGAATAACCACTTATTCTTCCTCATGTTGCATCATGCGCTTCAAAGCCTACAAGCGCAATGCTGCTGCCCCCTTTAGAAAGGAAACGAAAGGGAAACCAGACTGTCGTCCGAAATAAACACTGGAGTTGACGTTTATTCAAAAAATTGTGCATTTGTCATGTATGAGAGCTATAGGACGTAGATTGCGGACGGGGGACGAATGCCCGGTTGCCTACCTGCCTCGGTTGGATGGCCCCTCTGAGTTAAGAGATGAGTCCACTGCTGGAGCGTGCGTGAAATCAGCTGTCAACTTCAATTGAAAAAGGACTACTGTATTTCACTTGACGATCGAAACTATATTGTTGTACAATAAAATACATTTGAATGTAATGTTTGCTCCTGAACTTTAAAGCGTCAGCACGTCAGGAAGACTTCAAGACGTCACCTCTTCGTGACACACAATGGTAAACTGTCATCATTGAACTATGTGAGCAATGTTTGTGGTTTCATACTTTATAGTTCATGTAGCACGTAATATTAAATGTGCTTTCTTCAGAAACTGTTCAGGGACTTGGTTTACTTACCAGTAGTCGAAGATTTTGCGGTATTCAGGTGTCACATTTGGCGTCTGTGACGAATATTTTGAACAACACGCAAAATACTGTAATGATTTCAGTGTTACGAGATCATCCTCGTCTTCGAATTTAGAATTACGGCTGAAAAGCAGCTACAATAAAAAGTATAAATTAGTCGGAAAGGCGAGGTTCATTCCTTCACTTTTTTTTTGCATACTGAAGACATTTTGAGTTTTGCATCAAAAGATAAAAAATATGAGACAAAAGTTGAGAATTCCAGCTTTTACTTCATGGTGTTCAAATCTAAATGTGTGAAACAACTGATAACAGAGCACCTTTAGTTTGAAGCCACCCATTTTTCAAGTGAGCAAAAGTATAGGAACGGACATTATTTAATTAACTTAAAGTGAATATTTGGTGGCATATGCCTTACTTGCAATAACTGCATCAAACCTGTGACCCACTGACTTCACCAGATCCTTGCATTATTCATTTCACATGCTTTTGTAAGCTTTTTTTGCAGCCTCTTTCAGTTCTTGTTTATTTCTGGAAGTTTTTCCCTTCTGTCTCCTCTTCAGGAAGGTAAAATGCGTACTCTTTTGGGTTAAGGTCTGTTGATTGACTTGGTCAATCTCAGACCTTTCACGTTTTCCCCTGCTGATGAAATCCTTTGTTGTGTAGGCAATGTGTTTGGGTCATTATCTTAATGTCTGATGAAGCTTCTCCTGACGAGCTTGGATGCATTTTTCTTTTAATTGCCAGAATTTTTTGGTTCTTGTTCTTGTTTGGTGTGGGGTGGGGGTTCAGAATTTATTCTGCTGCTGCCATAGATAGTTACATAATTGAGCTAGAAATTAAACAGGAAGTTGTTCATTTTGATTTTAAACAGCCATATTGTGGAAAATTTCAGAGCTCATACATTGACAAATGGTACAATATATTTCACCCAAATGAGCATTAACATTAAACACATGAGCAAGACTAAATTTAGAATGTCTTTTCCTCCATCATTAAATGGGGGCGGAACTTGGCATCAGAGTTTGATGGTCATTTTGTGGATTTGCTATGGTTTTGTTTCATTAATCAACATGGCATTGGCTGGACATAACATAACAGGATGAAATAATCTCAAGCACTCTTACACTAATTGAACAGCAAGTCAGCCATTTTGGTGTGAAGCGACCATTTGGGAAAAATTCCAGGGCTTGAACTTGACAACGTTCCGCCAGAGAATTAGTTCAAATGAGCCCGATTTGATTAGCTTGTTCAGCCTAAGTCATCGTATGTGGGTAGAGCATGTTGTAAAAGTTGAATAATCATTTGGAGGATTTGGCCTGGGATAGTGTTGTGGAAGGCCCATTTGTCACAGTTGGCAGCTTTAATAATTTGTGATGCAGATTCATCTCTATTGAATTGTACCAAACGAATTGTCTGAAACACGAAAACCATATACAGTGTGTATATATATATATATATATATATATATATATATATAGAGAGAGAGAGAGAGAGAGAGAGAGAGAGAGAGAGAGAGAGAGAGAGAGAGAGATTTTTTTTTTTTTTTTGCTTCATGTATTCCACCATTTATCCTTATCTTACATTTAGTAATTTCAGTTTTCAGATTTTGGCAACAAGATAAAGAAAGCCCATTTTGGCCCAAGGTCCTGTTGTCCCTGACTTTGCTTGTGCAGCTTTGTTGCTGCATCTTGTTGTCATTCCCGGTAGGATCCCACCCTCCACCGGGGTCCCCGCTGACTTTGTCTTTGCTGGATTACGACTTATCTAAACAGCAACCCCAATGGATTTAGACCACCAAGTGTTAGGCACCGATCATTTGGTGGCGTCTCTGGCTGACCTCATGTGTTTAGCCTGCCATTGTTCCTTTCCGGCCGCCTTACTCACGGCTGGCTTGGTGCTTTTCTGTACTGTCGCTCAACAACGGATGGATCAAACGGAAGGAAGGTCGCATTTTCACTGCACTTTACCAGCTGTGTAAATCAACTGAAAATTCATCAAAATTGGCGTGGTGGGAAATATTTGCCATCTCTTACACAACTACTTTTCTGATTACTTTAATTTTACTCTTGACATTTGACAACGGATCATTCGACAACATTCAGCACCTCTCTCATTATATATTGGACAAGAAAGAGACTTAAAAGTGTCATTTGAATTTGGCAGAACCTGAATATGCTCAGTGGATATTTGTTATATGATGAGTGCAATCTTAAACATGGGCGAGCCAGTGGAAGGAGCTCACGTGTAACTTAGTTTTATATCCAAACTTATGTGGATCAACATCTATTTTAGAACATCCCAGGGAATTGAATTCGGCCACAAAATCAGTGGATTAAACCCCCACCCCACTCTGAATAAATGCACTAGATATGAGCCAATTTGATTATGATGGACGGACCCTTGCTGTTTTTCCATGTCAAATGCAGGAATTGATCATCGCACTTTGATACGAAGCTATGCCTGCCTTATAGATGGTGTAGGCAAATAAGCTTCACAAAATAGCATTGCCCATTTGTCCAGGATACCTGCTTCAAATTTGGGCTCAGTGAGATAAATTCTCATCTCAATAAAAGCTCTGATATTTACCCCAAATTCGAACCAAAATGGCCTACTTCCTGTTCGATTCCCTGTATGGGTCGATGAGAGTGTTTCATGTGCTCTGTTGTGATAAACCAATTTTGTGACAATTGTTGAAACTCATATTGTGAGAAAATGTAATACAGTATAATCTAAGCAGGAAGACAAAAGGTGGACATCTAAGGTATTGCCTGTTGTTCTTAAGTAGGTGTAAGCAATAAATAAAGATATTATAATCTACATTTATTGCAGAATTCTTATACAATTAGTGCACGAGGGAATTACAATGTTGAAAGTGATTTACAATGACATGTTGATCAATTATAAAAATCTCAAACCTGTTATTATGCATAGTATGGAAGTATACATGATATATCCCAATGAAGTCATATTTGAACAATTAGTGCAAATTACAAGGTGTGAATATCAACAATAAGATGTACAGTGTCTGGCTTAATTTGCATAACATGTACATGTGTAGTACATATGAAAAATAATGCACAGCGTCCAGGAATAATTTTCGCACTTCAGGGGGAATACTTATTTCAAGTGAGGACCTGAACTTCGTCAGGAAATACAATCTACCGGTACTAATTTCCTTATACACAGCATTTATGTTGGTTTTCCATTCCAGTTTGTTCAATCGACCTTGCAGTTTTGTTTATCAGACAAAGACTACGACTACAACATCTCAAAATCCTCCCTATGATTATAATAGTCATAATAATGTTAAAGTGCACTCAGTAGGATCTTCACTCGGTTGACTATCATGCCTTTGCTATTCAAAGAGAATGTTGTTTTTTGCAGGAGCTGCATGTTTGCCACTTTAGCACAAAGGCCACAACGGCATCAGCTGTCAATAGCATCCAATGATGTGTATTGATCTGCTGTGGTTAGACAACAGTCGGCTACTGCCCGCCTTTGTGGCGAACGGTTGAGAACAGAAAAAGTGTGAGCAGTCCTACTCCTAAAATGGTTCATATCTCGTAGAGCTTTTCGAGCTATACAGTACAGAGATACAAATAAACTATTTCCAACTAAAATAACAATTTCTCTTCAAAACACTGGTGAGGCGTGTACAGACGGCATTCGGCTGCTGTTCAGTGCAGGGGTGGAGCTAGTCGAGTGGGATGAAGGGAAGTTGGCCGGTGGGCACCCCAAAAGCTTGAAAAATCCCAAAGAATTTCCCGTATCACCTTTCATAGAAAGCTATTGTGTTGCAGTGTTTCAAAATGACTATAAAATAGAAATCATACATAATTACTTGCTTAACTGATTTGAGTGTGTTTAATAAAAGTTGAAGAATTTGAAGGTGGCCCTTGCATCCTTCCATTTTTACGTATGCAGCCCTCAAATGAAAAAGTCTGGACACTCCTGGCTTCGGGCATAAAGACAGAATTAGGGGTTCAAAGTATCGTTTCAAGGCAAGGTTAGGCATTCAAGTTAGGGTTTCAATGTAGGGTTTCATGCAGGGGTTAATATTCAAATTAGAGTTTCAGGTTTGTTTTTGAAACAAGGGTAAGGGTTTTGAGATACGATTCAGGTTTCAGAATATGGTTTCATGTCAAGATTAAAAACTCAAGTTAGGGTTGCAACCCTAACCTGCTTTGAAACCCTGGTTAATCAGGCTACTTTTTTCAAAGTCAAGTTTCATGTCAGGGTTAGGCATTTAAATTGGGGTTTCTAGCTGTGATTTCATCCCGAGATTTTAAACAAGAGCCAAGGTTCCTTGCAAATGTATTCAATCAAATTTAAAAACTGAACTGTTCTTAGGTAGTCATTTTTTTTAATTTACCATAATACCACGCTTTGAGAGCACAGATGTAGAGCACTTTCAGTGTATTGAGTGAGTGGGCCTTATCTGCAGGAGGTGGGGTCGACAAGCGTGTGTGCGTATGTGTACAGAACAAAAAAAGCGCACTATGCAGCGAGAGTGCAGTTATGCAGTGATCCAGTGTTGGAAGCAGCAGAGTGGGCTCCCGATGAGGTAAGAATACTGAAACAGGCACACACTATTCCACCCTATTCTAGCCATTTTTGTGTTTTTTAAATGTCTGCGTTTATTTTGCTTCTAGGTGGAACAAATCATCAATCCAAGATGTGATAAGTGGGATTTCATAGACCCTGATCATGCTTTTTCAGTGGAATCTTTTCCTTCTGTCATGGCTTCTTTCATTTCGTGCCGCGCTGCTAACCGGAGAACATCCCAAGGGATCCTCACGGAGACCTTTTGATTCTGGTTTGGGGGAAAACATGCTTGAACGTTCTTCAAGTCCATCTGTAAGTTGGGATTTCGATCGACAGGGAGTTCTCGGTGAGTACGGTGATGTCGAGGAGGTTTTGCAGACAACGCCGTCACATCGAAGGGATGAGGGACCAGAGACCCAGAGAGCTGCAGAAGTTACCTTATCAGTAGCTTCTTCAACAGATGGAGTTA